ATGCTTCTTGAAATATTAATATTAAAAATAAGAGAAATAAAAAGTCTTCACAGAAGCCAAAAGTATGTGTATGTGAGAAATAATGTGTAATGTGATTGACAAACTTCCCTATGACTGAAACTCTCACTCCACAATATGGATAAAAATGTTGCTGTATAAAAATGTCGAGTCTATACTCACAGAGGTTGTTATTTTAGTATTCTACARGAGTATTTAAAGAAACTTATGCTTACATCCCTTGAAAGCCCTGGGGAATCAGTCCTTTTACTCACTTATCACACTTGTCTTCCAGAACATGCATTCAATGAACACAGTATCCACCAAAGGCTATACTCCAGTCTCCTGAATGTTTGTCAAATGTGAATTCATAGGAGTATCAACATAAGAGTGTGTTGTATAAAAATCTGAAGAAAAGAGAACCATCATGGAACGAAGACTATATTAGATGATAGTTACCAAATACTTGTCTCTGTAAGTGCTATCTTCCTCAAGCTACAAAGCCAAAAATTGTCAAAGCCTGACAAGCCTGAAAWTTGCTGCATCAAGTGGTATTATCATTTACCAGATAGGAAGAAGCTATGAAGTTTGACATTGCTCATATTTTTGCCTATTCTCATAATTGTAKCATGTACCCTTTCCCCAAAAATAAATCCATGCTGTACTAATTTGGTGTGGTTCTAGGACAAAATATTTAAAGGAAACTTGACTTTCTGGGATCAAACGCACATATTTAAAACAGCAGAAGCAGTAAGAAGTTTCATTAAAAATACATATTGACCAAGGTAGAAAAGCTAATCTTTTCAAAAGTTTCAAGCAATATTAATAATAAAGATAACACATCTGTGTAAAAATGTGGAGAAACTACTAGAGAACCCAATACTTGTGTATGATAGAATTCTGAAAATAACGGTGAGCATCAAGTCAAATTTTCTATTATACAAAGAGGAAGCAGAGTGGACTGAATTTATTTTTAACATTGTTATGCTCTTCATATTGTTATTACATTTATTATTTGTAAAATCAATTTTTGTCATAATTAATTCATGCACTCCTCTTTCCATTTTAAATATTATTCATAGTTCTTACTATCAATAAATACTTAATACAACTATTAATACTGACTTAATCAGTCTTAGACATTGATATTGAAAGCCACATTTCAGGTCTGAGTGGTATTTTACTGGTACTATAAACACCTTAATGTTATAAAAGAATTCTGTAAACCAAGCCAGCCAAGTAAGAGGCTTTTTTAAAAAAAGCAGAGATAATTAGACATTTGAAGCACAAATWTTCTCTTCTCAGACTGTGCATTATAGCTATGGAAAAAAAAAGTGATTTACAATAAGACTCCTTAATTTTTAGAAGAATCTGATCAGAAAGACTATTCAGCAGAGGTTTTTGAGATAYACCATAAACCTAAAATATTAGTGAAAAAAAAAGAAGGCCACAAAAAAAGAAGAAAGAAAAACTTTATATGACAGGATTTGTGCTCTTTAATTTAAACTGAACTGTTGCACTACTACTCATTCTATGTGTGGTGAGTGACTCATCATAACAGCAGAGAACTTAGTTTTCACACTGAATTATCTTACACGGAAGTGGTGCACAAGAAATGTCAGGAGCAGAATGACAATATCAGTTTGAAGTTACATTGCCTTTTAAAGAATGCATGAGTTGTACTGTGTGTTTTTCCTATTTGGTCTATTATTCCTAAAAGAACTATACCACCACAGCCAGCATATACACATATAGAGAAAAATCTCTACTCTTCAGAGAGGTACATACAGTCTAATAATGGCTCCAGAATACAACTGCAAAGACATTGTTAAAAATAGAATAGACTCAGCAGAAACAACTTATATACATATGGAATGCCTTCTTCTTCCTAGCTATTAACATCCTTAACTACTTATTGCAAATATTTCCCCAAAAAGATAAAAGCTGATGATTTACCAATTACTACTCTCCATTAAAGAAGCTAAAAGCCATACTTCACACAACATACAAATGAAGTKGAAGGATATCTTACTCACAAGATTTCTACCTATGCTAGGTTTCTTATCTTACAGGGTGTCTGGTTTCTTTCCCAAAGCAGGGAGAGCGAGGGGAAAACAAACAAATAAAAAAAGGCTGGAGACATGCTACCTGACATCAGGAAAGGAGGGATAGCAATACAGGGATGCTCAACAGACAAAATAATTAAATAAATAAATACATAAATAGGAGTCTTTCATCAGTCACACAATGTCTCATCATGAAAGACTTGCAGAAAGGAAAATGAACACTAAAGAACACACCAGTGGCTTAACTTCAGTTTAAGCATTACTGATTAAAGGTTGTAATTAATTAGAAAGGAAAAAGCCATCACTGAAATGTTTAGGTCCTGAGAGATGTGAGAACATAAGGCTTACTTGCCTCTCATGAAGAATAGTTTTATTTTGTAGCAGAACTGCCACGAAAGTAGATATATTCACTGCCACAAAACATTTTCATCTTAAAGGGAAGAAAGCTACTGCTATTTTGGAGGCTTGCAATTGTAAACTCAGTTTTTGTAGACAGAGCTGAAGAGCTTAATTTGCAAGTCAATTCCTGATTTAAACTATTTTTAACATCTTTTAGACAGGAAAAAAAAAAGACAGGCTTTTGGTTTATGCATGGAAAGTATCAAGTCTCTTTAGTGCATTTTGAGAGTAAAGAAAGAAACTAGAGTTTCAAAAAATGTGAGCATAAAAGCAGAGTAAGGCAAGACTGGCTAGCTGTATTAGTTAAAATGGAAGCTATGACATGCTTCCATTTTAATGATGTGCAGAAAATTTTTAGACAAGAAATTATAGGTACATTTTCACTATTCTCTTGATCAGTAGCCTTGGATTTGCTGCTTTTAAATAAAAAAGTGAAAACAAGAACTCACATGTATAAACAGAGAACATTACAATAAAAGAGTTTCCAGAATAGCCAAGGTTAAGTTTCAATACTGAAGGCCAAGGCAGTAAACATAAAAACCACCTTTACATCCTAACAGAAACTGTAAATAGCAAGACACAGAATACAGCAAGATGCTAACCAAGCCACGTCTTTCTGCTTTTTTGCAATTTGGAATGCATTAGTCACATGGATAACTACAGAGGTAACAGTCACATTCTGACAGAATCTTGAACCATTCTGAACCAACTCATTCAGCTTTTAAAAGCTATTTGTACGGAGGTCAAAGTTGTGAACTTTTATCTCAACAAACCTGCAGAAACAAATCAATGTCACTATCATCCTTTCAGTGCATAGTCAACAAAATTATTTTATTTTTCCATCTTTCAGGAAAGAAACATCAACATATTCCTGCATAACCAAAGGCAACACTATGTTCAATATCAGGCTTGGAAAGAAGGATGACTTTTGCAGCAAGTTAGAAGCTGCAAAGTAGATCAAAGCTCAAGGTCTTCAATTWACAGCCTCAAAGAAGCACTATCTGAGGAAATCAAGTCTCCTGCTKCACAGTACAGCTCAGAAAGCAAATGGATTCTCAATTTACAAATTTGAGCAAGTACTAATCTGGCAAAAAACACCTGGCCAGCCACAGGCAAAGCAATTTAATAACATGATTATGATCCCCACAAAGTATTTCAGTGGTCCCCCACCTCAAAATTTTCAGCATCTTAAATACTATCCAGCATTTATCCGAAAATGAACAGTATTCCAGGAAATGGTATTCTGGAGATAGATAATCTCATATTCTGAAGATAGATAATCTCTTCTTTGGGATGACAAGAGGCAGAAATAAAAAAAAATCCCCAAAGATACATTTCTACCAAAATATACCCTAAGCAAAAAGATGCTAAAATTAGAAGGTTCACTACCCCTTTTTTGCAGGGAGCGTTCACTCAGAAAACTAAGTCAAAAAAAGAGATACTACTGCAAGACCAATGAAAGGATCACAAAAATACCCAAACAAAACTCAAATACCCAAACAAAACTCAAATACCACACAAAGCATGGTAAAACAAAAAAAAAAATAATGGCATCTCTTCTTTTTTTATTTTACTATTGAGAGCACCCAACAACTGCCAATTTAATAGTGTATTTTTCCATAGATATTTAAGAAATTACTACCTTATTTTCCCAAACAAATCAATTCTTTTGATATTTTAAACTGTATGTGTACTTTAAACTGTACATGTACTTAAAATTAAGTGTGCATGCATGCTATTAATCTTTTTAATACAAAAATCTGAATTCGTGTAGGATACCTAATAGTCACACATTTCTTCATCACACTGCCCAAGATAAAGGCATGAATAGCATTTCAGATTCATGAGATGAGCAGCCAGCATAAAAAAAAAAACCCTTCAAAACTTACAATCATACTTCATTATACCATGTATTTGAAAAAATACGCTAGTCTCATTAATTACTAAAGGTTATTTATCATGACTCTGCACCACAGAACCAAACAACAAAAAAAATGTTTCAAGAGCATTTTCCACATAGGTATGAAATAATCCTCCCCTCTAGGAAATGGAGAATTTACTCCCTCAACTTTTAACATGCTACCTGATAAAACTGATTCAAAAACATTCACAAATCTTATGTTTAACAGAACACAAGAAAATACCCAATTACAGGTAAATTATTGCCTTTTTACTAATATGTGCAACTGAAGGCTCAAGTTTGATCAAAAATGTCACTGTAAGCCAAGAAAATGCAACAAATACAAGAAAAAAATCCCCTAGAAACCACACAAACCACAGAAAAAAAAAAGTCAGGGGATCAAGCATGCTGTTTGTTTACAAACTAAGCCCTCGTGCAGATCTGGAACTGTAGCCTCTGGTGTTAAATCTGAAATCAGTCCACTACTAGTTATTTCCCCAAAATGGTCCATGTTTGGAATACACTTCATTAATCCTTCCTGGCAGCAGCAGCAGAGACTGCTGCAGATAACAAGAACATCTTCACAGAAGGTCTTCATAAAAGAATTAGTACTTTAGCTACCTTCGATATAATCTTACCTTGTTTTTTTGGATGCTTTAGGGGGATGTAGCATCACCAGCGCATGGGATGTTCAGGAAGATGCCCATGTGCGGTACGAAGAGCACGGCTGGCCAGTTTGCATCACATGCAGGATTCCTGATGGGAAGGCACCAGCGCTTCACCCGGCCAGGCCGTTCCCAGCCTTTCTCCACTGGGGACTATCTCTATCAGACACCCCTGGATGATGGAACAGGCTGATTGGAACTCATGGGAAGAGCAACATACATCATATATATATACATATATATATATATTTACCTAGCAATATACATATACATATATATTTAATCTTCAGAACTAATCTGAAGGCAATACAAGGTCCGAMGGACACAACCAGCTTCCCAAGCACGGCATGCCCGTGAGCAGCAGCGCCCGCAGCGCGGCAGGGGGTGGAAGGGGCACGAGGGCTGCGCCTCGCCTCCCTCCCAGCAGGAGTTAAGAGCACTGACGTAGCCAGCGCGGGGCGGGGCTGGCACGTGAAAAGGGAGGAAAGGGAGAGGGGAGGGGGGAAAAAAAAAAAAAAAAAAAAAGGAGACTGGGAGGCGGGAGGCGCCCAGCGACTCACCTGCGGCGCCGCCACCTGCCCGAGCGGCGAGGCGGGACGGCGGCGACGCAGGCGGGGGACGGGACGGGACGCTGAAACGGGCGTAATAAAATTTTAAGTTTAAAAATAATAAATAAATAAATTAATTAAGTTTTAAAATAATAAATAAATAAAGCGGCGCCTCCGCGCCCCTCGCCCTGCGGCCAGCCGCGCCACAGGGAAA